GTATAAAAAATGATGGTATTTTTACCTGGGAAGAGGATTCAGATGAGCAACTGAAAAAGTGTAAGAAGACAGAGGAGAGCAACTGGTGAGCGAGGGCGGGGCGGCCTCACTGGAGGTACTACGACCTTGTGGGCCATCACCACTTACATACACACCTTTACTCAGGCACAAGCAAATATTCGCACGTCGTTAGTGCTCTACCAGAGATAAGTACGTCAGAAAATGTTTTGTTAATATTTAAATGTTGATCCTGCAGCAACTCCGCTAGTAAACAACACAAACAGGGCAGGTAAAGCTTCATGGCAACATCAAATTAAAGATGATCTGGTCTCCTTGACTGGCAACCATCCACACCCAACACACGGCTCAGGCCACTCCCCGACCTTTTAACTCGACATTCTCCGTTACACCTGTCATAAATTTAGAAGATTATACAAGATTTCAAGGTAAGAAGTGTCAATGATGATCACGATGTAGAAGAACACGAGTGTTCAGGCCTTGAGGGCTTCTTGGAGATGACCTAAAAGGTGAAGTGTAAACTGGGTGCGGTCATGTTGTGTCGACCTTCCCCAATCTTCCCTGGACAAGGATACAGGTCGCCACGCCCCTACCTTGCCGTCCTACACAGACCGTCCCTCACTAAATTTGCATCAGCTTTCTCATCCTTCACTGTTTGCAGTCCCCTGGCGTCTGTTACATAATAAAGTTTTCTCTGCCAAGTCGGCCGACCTCCACGCAAGACACTGACAGACCCATTAATTACCTTTATAGTCTGAATCTTTTGAAATAACTTCGCCAAATTGCGTTGCTCTTATTTTGCTTAAGTACAAAAATACAATTAAAACAATCATGGATGTTCAGAGGCAAATTACTGTATTAATTTTATAAGAGGACATTACTACAGGCCTGGTGGTCCGTGCTTAAGAAAAGTCTCCTCAATGCCACCTTTTGTGCGTCAACTGTATAAAGATGATTCTTTTCTGTCTTATCTACGATTAGTTTCATTATTCATTACTAAGACAGACGAGGGCAGGTGGCTAGATCAGGCTAGGTGATATTGACCCACATTTCCTCAGACTACATAATTTTCATGGCCAGGGCAACACATGTCCCTGGGTGTACTATAGGATGGTGCAGGTCAGTCAGTCCGTCGGTGTCTACGCTTGGCTTGGTGAAGACATATTTGGCGATTGTGTCACCAGAAATCGTAACTTTTGCCTCATTGTAGACGAAGATAATTGTGATGTAACAACAATCTGTATACAACTTTAATTTTGAATAAGTAAAAACATAAGATTTTCTTTTTTAAGTTCGTTCAACACTATAGCACGCAAATATCTTGAACACATTATCAATATAACCAGTATATTATACACACATTATACTGTGGTTTATATAATAACACAGAACATTACATTAATCTATATGCAACAAGGTTAACATTACTGTGCATGAAGGTAGTGGTGAATTGTTTGCAGGAAATAATAATAACTTAACCACATGACGTTCAGGTTGCGGTATGTACTGGTGTCTCCCACAAGGAAACTCACACCCCGCAGCATTTCCGCATCCGAGAACAAGAATGTAAACTTAACAGCGGATTTCATGGAGTAAGATCACCCAAATAAGCCGAGTTGAGACACACGCTATTATGAAGATTTACTGTATATTAATTCGTTACTCTAGTACTACTATATTATTATTTACATAAACCCTCACTCTGATTTTTAAGTTACAATATGAATAATAAAACATTCGGTGCAGTAGTTTCTATGGAAAATAGCACATATTGTCTTCAAAACGCACACTAAAATTAAGTTTGAAATTTGCCTTAAAAATAGAGAACGCAGTTAATCAAGGCTCCTTACCACACCTGCAGTGTTCAGTGATATTACCTTCTAAATGAAATATGAAATGAATAAAAAAAGAGAGAACTTGAATTATGATAGATCACAAAAACGTGAATCATGAAAGATTAATTTTTCCTAAAACCAACAACAATGATACGGTCTTTCGCATTTCGTGCTGGTGAACGGACACTCTTCACTGTCTCTAAGTCAGCCCTTTTTCCCTTGGATTCTGGGCAACTTGGACACGACTTTGCACTAAGATAACTTGAGGCATCCTTCAACAACTGAGGTCTGCGTTGGGTGAGGTTACGTTGGGTGAGGTTAGATTAGGTTAGTACAAACACTATTCTTTTTATATAATCAACAACATTGTGGGTTAGAGTTGGAATTACTTCTCTGATGATGTCACGCGTAGTTAAAATTAAAGTATCATAGTTTGACCAACAACGATGCCATTTCACTTAAAAGTGATGATTCTCACAGACAGACGAAGACAGATTTAAACGACGTACGGTAATAAGATAAATGGAGAATGAACATCTCAAGTCTCCCGTGAACGACCTAGTTTTTTTTTCTTCCTCTCATCACTAAAATAATTCAAGGTGACAGTTTGAGAAAAAGGCCCTGAAATTTATCCAGTAACAACACGATCCCAAGTCCTGCAACGGACGAGAATGACTCTGCGATATGACTTGACGCATACAATCTACAATTTACTTGCCGAGGAAAAAAAACGAAACGAATAACAATTTATTATTCACGGGAACAGAAACACACACAAAATCATGAAAGATTACTAGACAATCACTGTTGGTGGTGATTTAAAAGCCCGCCAAAATATGTCAAAAAGAGGTATAACGACACAGGGTAAATAACGAGGCTGCGGAACATATTTCGAGTGGATCAGCGAGTCAATCCTGTAAGTTAGTTTGACTAAACTACTTTTTTTAACTTATGAACGAGACGAGGATTAAACCCTTTGAGGATTATAGCTTAAACCATCGTCCTTAAAGTTAAATAACACAAACCATCGTCCTTAAAGTTATAAAAGACAAACCATCGTCCTTAAAATTATAAAAGACAAACCATCGTCCTTAAAGTTATATAACACAAACCATCGTCCTTAAAGTTATAAAACACAAACCATCGTCCTTAAAGTTATAAAACACAAACCATCGTCCTTAAAGTTATATAACACAAACCATCGTCCTTAAAGTTATATAACACAAACCATCGTCCTTAAAGTTATAAAACACAAACCATCGTCCTTAAAGCTATATAACACAAACCATCGTCCTTAAAGTTATAAAACACAAACCATCGTCCTTAAAGTTATATAACACAAACCATCGTCCTTAAAATTATAAAACACAAACCATCGTCCTTAAAGTTATATAACACAAACCATCGTCCTTAAAATTATAAAACACAAACCATCGTCCTTAAAGTTATATAACACAAACCATCGTCCTTAAAGTTATATAACACAAACCATCGTCCTTAAAGCTATAAAACACAAACCATCGTCCTTAAAGTTATATAACACAAACCATCGTCCTTAAAGTAATAACACAAACCATCGTCCTTAAAGTAAACACAAACCATCGTCCTTAAAGTATATATAACAAACCATCGTCCTTAAAGTTATAAAACACAAACCATCGTCCTTAAAGTTATAAAACACAAACCATCATCACAAACCATCGTCCTTAAAGTTATATAAACACAAACCATCGTCCTTAAAGCTATAAAACACAAACCATCGTCCTTAAAGCTATAAAACACAAACCATCGTCCTAAACTATAAAACACAAACCATCGTCCTTAAAGCTATAAAACACAAACCATCGTCCTTAAAGCTATACACCAAACCATCGTCCTTAAAGTTATAAAACACAAACCATCGTCCTAAAGCTATAAAACACAAACCATCGTCCTTAAAGCTAACACAAACCATCGTCCTTAAAGTTATATAACACAAACCATCGTCCTTACAGTTATATAACACAAACCATCGTCCTTACAGTTAAATAACACAAACCATCGTCCTTAAAGTTATAAAACACAAACCATCGTCCTTAAAGTTATATAACACAAACCATCGTCCTTACAGTTAAATAACACAAACCATCGTCCTTAAAGTTATAAAACACAAACCATCGTCCTTAAAGTTATATAACACAAACCATCGTCCTTAAAGTTATAAAACACAAACCATCGTCCTTAAAATTATAAAACACAAACCATCGTCCTTAAAGCTATAAAACACAAACCATCGTCCTTAAAGCTATAAAACACAAACCATCGTCCTAAAGCTATAAAACACAAACCATCGTCCTTAAAGCTATAAAACACAAACCATCGTCCTTAAAGCTATAAAACACAAACCATTGTTCCCAAACCTGATGACAGGAGAATGTTTACCCGAGTCACGTGTCATAACAATGGAAACCTGAGTCGTACGATCTCCCTCTTCTAAATAGAGACTTGAGAACGAATCAACAGACTTACAGCCAGTTTGTGAGTTCATATTCGACACAATGATGTTTCTGGAGCCTGTGTGTGTGTGTGTGTGTGTGTGTGTGTTCTATAATCAGCGGCATGACAGTTCTTAATCCTTAAACATGTGCAGAAGTTCGCTTGAATTTTTGTGTATGTTTAAGGGTCAGTTCAGGGGGTTCAAACCGGGTAAGATGCTGTTGTTTTTATAGGGGGAGAGTGAGACACAGACACAATATAAACTTCTTCAGCAACACTCACTCACTCACGAGCTCTCAAAACGGTATAGTGTCAGCTCCGAGCCCATGAACTGTGTTGTGTCTTGAGCCGCTATACAAAGCTGACGGCCGAAGTGACGTTAAAATTGCGCCGAGCTTTACACCTGTTGATCCAAAATCAACTACAAATATCACAAACACACACATCAAATATATATGCATCACAAACATGACTAGAATACCGAAGGCGATCAGAGACTCAAACTCAGCCATAACCACAAAAACTATCACCAACTTACTCCACAACCAGCACAATATACCATCGTTGGGTGAGGACACACGTCAATATTATCAGTGATTCACAGCTTAATTCCTCAGCTCACGGAGTTTCGCTGACTTCCGTGAGCGCAGGACCACCTCCTGTATAAGTGGCGAGAGGTGTGCGCCTGACGGGGGCGTTCCCTACTTAGGCGTCCTCTCGCGTCCTGTACAGTAGGTGAGGCCGCGAACGGGCGTGGTCGGTAGCCAGGGTCGCGCACTGCCCTCGATATATAAGACACTCCGGAGGGAAATCCAGACACACTTCTTCCTCCCAGCGTCACAAGATCACCCGCAGGATGGGGTACAAAGTTGTGAGTGTTGCTCTGACAGCGCCAGTTTCTCTTCTTTAATTATAATAAGTGTTAAAGGACGAGTTGTATATTCTCCAAGTGTGATATGCACATTAGCTTGAAACACAAAATACAATTCGCTAGTTTATGAAAAAATGAAGAACGAAAATTTTTCCAGAGTGGAATGTTTACATCAACTCGAAAAACATTTATATTCTAAATCATGCCAGAACGAATTATATTTTATATGTGTGATATTTGCAATAGCATACAATAAATTAATAAAAATATCAGAGAAGTGGATGACAAAAGTTGTGAATATGTAGAGTTACCGCTTAGAAGTCGTTGGAATACAGTATGTATGCATGTCAATAACGGATTTACATCAATGTTTACAGCTGCTGTTGCTGTGCCTGCTGGCATATGCGTGGGCCGAGGACATGACGGAGGCGCCGCTGGAGGACCTGGAAACCGCAGCCGACACCACTGACACCGAGAACTCCACCGTCGTTCCGATCCTGAGACACATCAACGAAGTCAACGAAGACGGCTCCTACACCTTCGGGTTTGAGGCAGCAGATGGCACCTTCAAGATCGAAACGAGGGACAACCTGGGCAACGTAAAGGGCAAGTACGGGTACACTGATGACTTCGGGGACCTGAAGGTGGTCGAGTACACAGCTGGGAACGCCACAGGCTTCGAGGTAAAATCGGATCTCCTGCCTAAAGTTGTTCTCCCTCCTCCAATAAATGCTCAGCAGCTGCCGGGTCTTCCCCCACGTCCCCGCAGGCCACAATTTAATCCCCAGCGAATTCCCCAGTCCCAACAGTTTGCTCCTCAACCCCATTTCACCCAGCCCCAGCGTCCTCAGTTCCAGCCCCAACCTGGTCAGTTTGCTCCCCAGCCCCAATCTGGTCAGTTTGCTCCCCAGCCTCAACCTGGTCGGTTTGCTCCCCAGCCCCAACCTGGTCGGTTTGCTCCCCAGCCCCAACCTGGTCGGTTTGCTCCCCAGCCTCAACCTGGTCGGTTTGCTCCCCAGCCTCAACCTGGTCGGTTTGCTCCCCAGCCTCAACCCCAGCCTCAGATCAACTTCCATTCTCAACCTCAATCACAGTTCGCTCCCCAGTCAGAAGCTCGACCCCAGTTTGCTCGCCGGCTTCAACCCCAACCTCTTCCCCGACCCCAACCTGTTAACCAGCCCCGACCCCAATTCGACGCTCAACCCCAGATTCCTCTCAACACACAGCGAAAATTCACTCCCCCAAGGTTCCGCCCGCAGCCCCAGGCTCCCCAAGTCACCGAGCGACCCATCAACGTGGCTCTGGACGGCTTCTCTGAGGATAACAACCAAGACGGGTTCGTTGACGGGTCACCTGAAGAGGCGCAGAAAGGAAACCCTGTCGCACCTCCCGCTGCTCTGCCCGCCGGGACTTTCACACTTCCCCAAAACCCCCAGCCCCGCCCACAGTTCGCTCCACAGAAGCCACGACCGCAGCTCTTCCCTCAGCAGCCACAGTTCGCTCCACAGCAGCCACAGTTCGCTCCACAGCAGCCACAGTTCGCTCCTCCACAGCAACAGTTCTTCCCTCAGCAGGTTCCTCAAGGTTTCAATAGGTTTTCTCCTCAGCAGCCACAGTTCGCTCCACAGCAGCTGACTCGGCAGCAGATCCAGCAGCAGCAGTTCCTCGCCAGTCATCAGGGCTTGAATCCTCAACAGTCTGCACGGCCACAGTTTTTCGGCGGGCAGCAGGGCGTTCCCCAGTTCTTCCCCCAGCAACAGCTAACTCCCCAACAGCTACAAGACGCACGATTTGATGCCCAGCAGTTCGTGCCACAGCAATTCCAGGGTCAGCGCTTTGGGTCACCACAACAGTTTAGTCAGTCCATCACACAGCAGTCTGTGGCCTTACCAACACCAGTGCCAAAGCCTGCAGCTCCTCAGCCCACACCTAACTCAGCCAAGGCATAAAAGATGCTAACTAACCTTGTGATGCTCACCCGCTATTTATTTCTTCTTATTTTGCGTCTGTTACGTGAAGCTTAAATTCCCATGCTATCAAAATTATTTCCACGGCATTTTATCTTGTATTTCTGTATATAGGTTTCTGAAACGAAAAATGAATGTAAATAAAATAAAAATGCGGACTGCTTTTTTGATAACTTCAATTTTATTTTAAGAAATCCAATTCCTTTGGGGGTTACTGTGCGTGTGAAGAAAGCGAGGCGCTCTGTGGTTACTTCCGTGACGCAGAAGCTGATGGTACGGTCTGTCACCTACATAGATATTTATTCAACAAGATAGCCATATAAACTTACATTGAATCGGTGTACACAAACAAAGGTAAACAGTAACTCGATTTGACCAAGGATAGCCAAACAAGGTCACCTCACTGCCAGCATCCGTTAATGAGTAGTGTTGCACAGAGGTATTTTACTGTCTAACGCCAGAACGCCAGCCGATTTGATTCAGTTGAGAGAAACCCCAGTCACTCAATGGGTTAACTCCACAAACATACTGTAATCTCCTTCATTTAAATCATACGTAAAACAAATAATCAGATTAAATACGTATAAAATAAGAGGTTCACAATATCAATAAACAATCCTCACTGACATTATTTTTTACACAATCTTGTACAAAGTTAACTGTACGTAAACACGACTCAAGATGAATGTACACATCATCACATCATCTTGTACACAAAGTAAAGACGCTGCTAATTCTCTCAAAAGCATTTCCTAATTATCACAAACCTTACATTATAAATTAGTTCTCTACACACACACACAGTCATGACCCAAATTTCAGACTCACGTTACGTTATTTATTTACCGTAACTGGATATGGAAGAATGTATCATCTCCCTGTGGTAGTCTTGGCTTATTTGTTGTAATCATCACTTCTGTGTGAAGGTTCAAGGTGCCTAACCGTACTCGTATTAGATACATTGATAATTATTCAGTAATATCGTCATACAACTTCAGACTGATTCCATACCTGATAAGTGACAAAAATTTAAAAAAAATATACACACAAACAATGGAGATGAACAATGTACTGTACAAAGGATGGTAAAAATTAGGTCCGTAAACACAGTATTATGGATCTCAGGCACAAGGAAAATTTCTAGGACAACTCTGTCAATGCTAGATTACCGGAGAACTAAATGTGTGATGGTGAAAGACGAAAACAGTTGGAGATATAATGAAATAATACCCAGCCTGCAAATAACTGATCATACCTTACACCTGGGGAAGGCACAGTGGCGAACTATATTCACAGGCGTCAAGCACATCCTTACTGAGAGATGTAGTTCGCTTAGTTTTTAATTCTTGATGACTAGTATATTTACCAATCTAGAATACGTGCTTAAAGACCCACAGTTGTTAGGTGCAGTGCTATATTAATCATACACATCAACAACTCAAGGTCTTTCCCAGCTAACACTTGGTTCTGTCTCAACCTTTGTCTGTAAATCACTCAGGAGTTCTCAATTTACTCCACGAAGAAAAAATACTGATACTTTATTATTATTAGACAAGGTGACTGTAGTGTTGTCATCCTTAATACATATTTGTGCTTCTGCAACTAAGTCGTTCAGACACAAAACAAAGCCAATTCGCACTACAAAACAACAACTACCGTACAATAAAAGGAATATATTGTTCTTACCCCTGAGGTAATTCCAGAGGTGTACGTTGACTGTCGGGAGCTCACCTCTGGTCGTATAAACTTGATGACTGTAAACGTTCTAGTCTCCCCTGGAAAGAAAAAACGCCCAATAGTTTTCTATGTTCTAATGTTAATAGCTAATACTGCCCCTGAACAACTAGAAATTTACCAGATACTTGCCTATAGTAATTCCTAACACGTGAAGTAATATTTCCCTGAACTTATTCTTCTCATAATTCCTAATACGTGAATTAATTTCAGCATTTACTTTGGTGATTCCTGTTAAAAGACCAGATGAAAACGATGAAATTTACTGTACAAAAGAATGAGAATTCTGTACTATCTAAACTGGTACAGTACCCTGTTGATTTGACTTAGAATCATCGAGTAATGCCTCGTGAAATAGAGAATCACTGGCCGTCGTTCCTCTACTAAGCTTTATGCCAGTTGTCGATCTCTAGTTGACAACAAGCGCAAAAATGTAATGAGTTGCACGAGTGACACAGCAACGTGAAGTTCACAAGGACTTAACTGGTTACCTGTTGCTGCCTACACATCGCCAACAGGCACAGTACAACCCCTCATTCCTAGAGGTCTGTCACCCCTTCAGCACGTTTTTCTCCTCTCCGTCCCACACCTCCCTCACCCTTCCCACACGTCTCCCATCCTTCCCAAAACGTCCGTTTCCCTCTCCCATGCGCCTCTCACATCTCCAACATATCTCCCATACATCTTCCACCCCTCCTACACATCTTTACCCCTCCCACACACATCCCCTTACCTCAGCAACTAAAACTAACCATTCGTATCGCCTCTCGCAGCCATGCCACCATGCCAGAGACAAGTCCCCACCAGCCACGTGTCAGCGTCGAGACCAAACAGGGAGGTGTTACGGTGCGGCGGGGGTGAGGGAGAGGAGTATGGCTTTGCACGTGCCCCCTAACAGCTGGTGTTCTCACGCGCCAGGAAAACGTGTTGTGCCCTCACATGTGCTCTCCTTCCCTCTCTCTATCACTCACTATCATCTCTTCCTCCCTGTCTTTCTTTCTTTCTTCTTCCTTCTCCCTCACTCACCACCATATATCTCTCACTCTTCACCATAACTTACAACACTTTAAAACCACGACTTACAGCTTTCCCTTGTCCCTCACTCCTTTAGCCAGTGTCCACAATGTCCTTTTTATTCATTGTTATCTTCTCTTTCTTATCAGAGCCAAACAAAAAAACAATAGGACACGGACATACAGGAGGAGCTGGAGAGGAAAAATTTCTTCCTGGCGAGAGAGAGAGAGAGAGAGAGAGAGAGAGAGAGACGGCCGATATAAACAGGTGTTCCACGAATCGTCTGCCAAACTTCAAGAGGTTATTATTTGTCTTGGGTCAAATATTCTAAATCAACATGGTTCCAGCGTACAGCATAGACAGTATACTGAATATCAACTGCCACCTCCCCCCGTGACTAACCCAGTGTCGCTACCACCTGGACATACTACCTGACCTTTACTTACCAGCTACCTACCTGGCACTATCACTATACCACCACAGTGCCAACAATACGGCCTTGGGGTACTCTCAGTGTTATGACGTGTAACTTAGGTCGATACCCCTGAAGGACGTGTGTGTGCGCGCATCAAGGTTGACTTCTTCCTCCACTTGGTGACATGAGGATGTGTGTGTGTGTGTTTGACAGGTGAGATATAAACATATCACTACCCCCACTGCATGTACAGTACAAGGTGATGTACCTGCAGCCTTGACGTGCATGGAATGTATTTACTGTAGTGTTTTAACAGTGTGCCAAGGCTCGAATTTAAAGCTGGCTACAAGATACTTTTCGCAGAATTCGAGCTGATGTCTAAAAAAACAAAATCAGAGAAATATAAAGTTACTTGTATCATTATTGTTACTTACATGCATCTTAAAGGTATTATTATACAACGTGATTGTGGACACACGCAGGAGAAATATTCATAGGATGAATTCATGGAGGCCATTGTTGATACGAGGCACTTTGGTAGTAACTATTCGTGTGCTGTTAGCATGTTGAAATTTTTATACCTGTATTTGTATTCTTGTCTTAACCTGAGCTGTTGTTTCTCACTAAAATACTGAAAATTATCTAGTCAGCGACAAGTTGACTCTCGAAAAACCCATACCGTATATATTTAGTTTAACCCTGGGGTCTACTAATTTGGGGACCCATATTGACCTATTCTGAGGTCAAGTTTGACTCTTCACGAGGATGAGAAGGTCCTACACGGCTCAAGTTCGGAATAAAACCCAAGTCTTCCTTATGTTGGTGAACTTAGTGCAGATCTATGATGCCGTGTGGGAGAAACTACTACACACACACACACACACATTTAGAACGTCCTTGTCAACACCCCGCTATTACATTCACTGTGGGGAGGGAGGAAGAGGGAGGGAGGAGGAAGGGGGGGAGGGGGAGGAAAGAAAGGCTGCCCAGCAACGGGTCACGTTTTGAATTCCGTTATCTTCTCGTCACTACGCTCTCCCGTCACACCACGCTCCCCCGCCACACCACGCTCCCCCGCCACACCACGCTCCCCCGCCACACCACGCTCCCCCGCCACACCACGCTCCCCGCCACACCAACACCAAGCTCCCTGTCACACCAAGCTCCCCGTCACACCAAGCTCCCCGCCACACCAAGCTCCCCGTCACACCACGCTCTTCTGACACTACATTGCCGTCACCACACTCATGTTACCACAACCTCCCGTCACCAGTACCATCCTACTATCCCATCATCCTCATTTCCCACCAACCCGTCTCATTCACAACCCCCCTCCCCCTATGTTCTACCCTCCCAAGATCCCACTTATCCGCGTCTTGCCGTCACTATCCACCCCGCAGAGAACCGGCTGTGGGTGTATCCTTGAGACAGAACTCATAAGCTCCCCTGAAACAAGATAGCGTAAATCACAACTACTGTAGGTGTTATCTTTCAGATTACGCCTCGCGTCATGGGGATTTTCAGACCCACCAGGTGGTGTACAGTTTGTTGCTCTTGTTGTTGTTGTTCACTTGTATCAGTATTATTCTGGCTAAATAAATTTTTAATATCAATTTTGATAACTTCTTCGATAACGGGTCATTATTAGAGGATTCAAAATGGATACAATGCTCTTTTTTTAATGTGTGTGTGTGTGTGTGCGAACACTTGCTTTTCTTGTAATCAATACTGACAGAAATATATGTATAATGATAGTTTTCATGGAGTGTTTATAATAATAATAATAATAATAATAATAATAATAATAATAATAATGTTGATAATAATTATGTGTGTGCTGCATTCTCTATTCAAAACCACAACCAAAACAAGTTCAAGGAATTAGCCATATACTGTATTGCAAATGCCCAAGTATACACACTTATTCCTAACACTGCAATAATGGCCGGTATTTCTGACATGTGTGCTGCGGCCTGATTCCCTTACCGAACCACAAACAACAATAAAGCC